ATGCACCACAGCAGATACCAGGAGGGTTTATACACCACCAGACGCTCCAACTGATGTTCAAACCTTGTCAGTAAGGAAAAAAAAAAAAGATAATTCAACACCTGTCAATATGTTATTTTATCAATTCGGAGGCGAGCAACATTTAGCAAATCCTGTGTTCTGATTGGCTACCTGAGTGGGCAAGATGGGCCCTTGTTGCCCGCTTGCGAATTGCTGCGATGGGGCCCACTAGAAAATTAGGCATTTGGCCATTTAATAAATCCCTTATTGACCAAGCTTGCTCTGCCAAGATGGCTTGATATTGAACTCGTTTGTTTTTTCATTTTATTGAACTCAACCTCGTCTTAGTCCATAAAAACGCAAAAAAAAAAACTACTATCTTGACCTCGCGCTTATGGCCCGCTGTTTGTGTGTAGTGCAGAGGTACTAGTCGAGGCAGGCAAAAGACGGTAAGTTTCATAGCTAGACAAGGAGACTAAATAAAAACAGCTTGGAAGACTATAAAAGGATGTTATATCAGTTGTATAAGAAGGTATATTCTTTTCCAGTTGCTATACTTATTTTTCTTTAGGCGACGTGATAAAAGCCTGGGGAAATCATTTTGATCGAGTCTGGCGAACAAATGAGTATGCAAGGACTCACATAGTGCAAATGTGGAAGAATAAGTTCCGAACACAGATGGTGGTGTCCGGCAAATAGGCCGTGCTGCCTTCCTCGGTCTCGTATATAACGAGAAGTCTCTCAGCTCCGGGCGCGGTAAGCGTCCACAAAGCACCTGGAATACAGCTGTGTTAAGACAAAGAGTAGATAAAAAAGTCAGTACATGTAAGATAAGTCTCCGGTGTGGTCAAAATTTTTCTCGCGTTTCTTTTTTATTTCACGGACTAAGGAAAAAGGGAGAGATTGCCCGTAGCCTACAGCACTAATTTAGTCGAGTTGATTAGTTGGTAAGATCATATCTTGCGTGACTTGTCTACAGGCATTATAAGGGGGACCGGGGAATTCGGGTAACGCCTGTCACGCAGGCAATGTGGCTCAGAGTTTTCCCACGGGTTGCGGTGAATGGTTCGCCTAACCTACAACGCAGCCGTTTTTTGTCCCGTTCACGCAACGCTTTTCCCCAAGATTCTTGCGTGACAATACAAAAACGGCTGCGTGGAGGATTACGGCTGGCCCTAGCGTTCAGGCCCTTTGTAGTGCTTGCAGTTGGCGTTAGGAGCGTAAGGAACATCAAAATGTACTTACTCTACTCGCATGGTGTTTGCAACCTGACTGTATTGTTTGGCCTTGATGGTCACTACATGGTAACCATGGCTGTGAAAACCTTGAAAAAAAAAGTAAAATAATTTAACATGAACTTTGTTAGATACATAAACTTAGTATAATAGACAAATAAGAGGTTTTGAAAAGGGTTTTTAAAGAGTCTTTACCGTCATAAGTCATGCAGTCTGGCATGAAATCTATATCTTTATGGACAGCCACGAAAGCAAGGGATGTAAACTGAGCCAAGCCTTCAAAGGCTTTGGTGCATTTCATGGCTGCAGGTCTTACTGTCTGCGACTTATGGCCGGCGGGCATCGGTGCCATGGTTACGTTGTTCTTAAGGTACCAGGAGCTTACCGCGGCCTCCGAGTCGATGGAGGCAGATCGGCGATTAATCTGAGAAGCACAAATAGAATTAAATCAATATTCATATTCACATCCGTGTTTAGAACATCAATGATTAAAATGATTCTGATTAATCTAAAGTTTGTTCAGTATTTGGCAAGCGTTCAGTGTGAAGAATTGAGTGGGCCGAGAAAATAAACTTTACATTTTCAACTTTACGTTCGAAATGAGAACCGCGTCACCAGCCTGACCAGAAAGAATACTACTCGATCGGCCCCAGTTGCTCAAAAGAGGGATAACGCTAGTCAGAGCTAGATTATTAGGGGAAGGCAATTTAGTCTAAATTGGGCTAATCACTGGGTAGAGTTGGAGCAATTTGTTTTTATATACTTATATTCCCTGCGTAGAGATTTATCCGGTTTATAACGCTATATAACGTTTAAACAACCGGGGCCTAGGTGATGGACCCTCCTTAGAATGATGATAACAGACGTAAGGCGAGGGGGACGAAGGCGAACAAGAGACAAAGGACTGTTCTCAGCCTCCTCCTCAGGCGCTTCGTTTCTCGCATGGTTTCGCAAAGCTCGAAACGCGAGTGACTGGTGATGACGCGCAAGGGACCATGTAAAGAGAAAGAGAAGTCTGGGTACGAGGGGGGCACTGTTTCTCTTTAATCACACTCCAGTGGCTATCGTTTGGCTATCAATTCCCATGGTGGTCCGTGTATTTTTTTGCCTCCTTGAGGACTAAGGCTCAGTGAGTTTTTCCTAGGTTATATTTTTAAAGTAAGTCAGCTAAATAATGCGATCTCACTCTTATCGTCTCTGGTGCGTCGCCTTCATCTAATCTATGCCTGGTATGTAAGGAAATCATCTTCCGCCGACTGAAGGACCACGACTTGACAGTGGAACCTTGAAATTGTTTGCCATTACGAGGTCTTTATATCTTTCATTCCTTATCAATTACTGGAGGAAGAAAGCCGTTCTTTATACCGAGGAGTTCAATTAACGAAGGAAATAATCCTCAGTGGTACATTGAGTTGGCTCTGCGACATAGTGCCCGCGTAATTATCTACAGAATTTTAAAGTCTAAGCTGAAGACAGGCCCGAAGCACGTTTTGGCGATGGTTGGAGTGTCTCGTTTCCCTTTCTAGTCGTTCTCTTTGACCCCACATTACTCTGCTACTTCTTCCTTAGATGTGCATTCGGTCACCGCCCTCCCTAACAGAAACTGGCCTCGCCTGGGATGGGGAATTTTTAGTGCCCTTAATAGCGCGAATCCCTAATGACAGGGGATTATTTCATTTAAACGTCTAAATTTTTTGGTTGGTGGGGTGGGGATTTAACTGCTGCCGGTTTTCCAGGATGACCACAATTTATAATGAGGTGCCCGCAAGGCTGGGGTTTATGACCCTTAATTTAACCCGGTTGTCGTTGTCCCCAAAATTTTGCACATGCGTGAACGTAAATCCCTGTAAAAAATTTAATTTTTGTATTTTTTGTCATGTAAGTCAGTGTTTCATCAGATGAAACACTGAGAAGAGAGCTGAAAAAACGACGCGGGCTCAGCGGAGTATTTTGACGAACTTCGAGGTCACTTTCATCTGTAGCCTGTTCCAGGCGTTCAAATAGTACGTAGAGCGCAGCGGTCAGATCATCCATGGGGAGCGAGTTAAATTGTACACCGGGAAATGCTTGATATTACTTCTCAAACAAAATGATTTTAGAAGGAGAAATTAAGGATTGAAAAATAACCAGTTTTTCATCTGATTTCCAAACACTCATTGAACATTAATTTCCTTTCTATTTTCTTTATGAATTATTAATGACTTTGAGGCATAAATGTAGAAAGTTACTGGAGACATTTTAGAGAGAGTCATAATAGGCCGACAGCACGTGTTTACATTTTCCTGTAAATGTCAGCAATAGGCGACATCAGTGTTTAACAACATTAGTTTTGTTATTCAGATTTGTAACGAGTGAAAAAATAGAATCTTTCTTCATTAGAACCACCGCGCTTTTGGTTGGCCCACTAATATCAATAGTGCTTGTGAGTGTGAATATCGCTATGTAATGTTTTAAAATTTTATTGCCCGAACTACTTGTTTGTATAACTCAAACAAAATATTCGTTGTTGTTTTTGTAAATCATAGATTTTATTTCAATCAAGTTGTCTCCAAAGCATTGCTTTCACTTGACACGCGCGCAAGCTCGCGCATTTGAATTAAAATGGCGCTACCGCTTTATGACGTCACAATGGATAAAGGTTGACAAAACTGAAACGCTTTTTAAGAAAGAAACGGGGCCAAAATAACAAGTTGTGTTCATATTCTGAACAAATATTATTAGCAGTGGACTTTTGCTCACCTTTTGCTTCTTTGAGAAGCGCCGGAAGTGTTTTTTACTAAAAGTACAACCCATAATGATTAAACGTTTGTTCAAAGTAACGTAAGTCAAGTCTGCGTGGTTTTCACAAGCAAACTGAAAGATAAGGTCAACACACGCGTCCTTATATAGGGGAAGCTACGTCACAGCTCGCGCCATTCAAATCATATGCAGGGCGCTGATTGGTTGCTTAGATGTCGCAAGAACCGCGGGCGCATTAAAACAAGTCAGTGTGATTCTTTGGGGATTCTTTGCGAAGAAACCACAGGTGGCCCAAGCGTAATATGAGAGTTTGTATGGGAAAAATAGAGTTTGAAACTTAGATGAAATAAATGAAGTAAAAGCGATAAAATTTATCAATAAAGTGTAAATATTGTTACCTGGAATCGTTGTCTTTGCTTTTACGAAGTTTCAGCGCGATTTGAGTACTTTTACATCATCTCTTATTATTACACTGTCAGATCAGATGACGTAAAAGTACTCAAACCGCGCTGAAACTTCGTAAAAGCAAAGAACGATTCCAGGTAACAATATTTACAAGTTATTGATAACTTTTATCACTTTTACTTCATTACTTTCATCTAAGTTTCAAACTCTATTTTTCCCACACAAACTCTCATATTACGCTTGGGCCACCTGTGAAGAAACAGGGGAAATTTATACCCACAACCGATCCCGCACGATGTTTTCACTAAATATGGACCCTGTTATCATCATTGTAAAAAAAAAACAACAACAACAACAACAAGCAAGACAACTACAACAAAAAACGTGTTTGGTTGGGAGAGAACTTAAAAAAAAACAAACTGTAAACATGTTTTTAGAAAGTTATAGTGCTATCTTTTCAAAGACACAGTTCTAAATTACAGCAAACTGCCAGCCATTAACCGAAGCAGATCGAAAATTTTTCAGTTTTTCGGGGAAATTGTATCAAGGAAGGGGAGGGTAACAAGCCTGACAAAATTCTTCCGGCGTTGTGTCACGTTGTGCCGGAAACGAGAGGTTACAAAGCAAGATGGTTGCCGAAAAGTTCTCCTTGTGTTGTGTGGGATCTCACAATGTTCTCCTGTTTATATCAAGCTTATGAACCAAAGTAATTCTTTACAACTAGAAATGAACTCATGTAAGCCTGTCAAAAGTGCTTTTCAGCGCACAAAATCGACGACCACTGTGAATTTGTGCTCATTTAATCCAGCCACGTCACCAAGACATCTCTCACTGCTGTGAGTTGCCAATTTTGATCTCGCGATCTTTACAGCTAATCGTGCTCATGGCGAATAAACTCTTCGGTTTTCAACAGTTGAGAAGAGTGTTAAAGACTCTTGGATACATCTTGTTCATGTACATTTTCTCCATCAGTTTGACATTTTACAACAGATGGCTGTTAAAGGTTTGTGGTCACGTTAAGCTTATTTAAGATTAAGGCTTAATAATATTATTATGGAAACTTACAGTACCTAGAAGCAAAGTTGATATATCGTGGCTCAAACTTTCCCTTACTTCAAATTTTACTTTTCATTGTTTCCAACTCGATATCACTATGACATATAACTGTGTACCCAAAATCAAAGGAAAATTTATTAAATAGGAAAAAAGGATTAAAATTATACAGTGGAACCTCTATTCAGAGGACACCCTCGGGACCAAGGCAAGTGTCCCCTGAATGGAGGTTGGGTTGGGGTTTGTTAATAATTAACCAACAAATCAAACATTTTTCTTTTATTCTACCTCAGAATCTGCTGTAGTCATTATTTGAAGCAGCTCGATAAATGTATTACAGTGCGACTACATGTATTATAGAAAAGGTGGCACCAAGACAAGGTTGAGCATTCAGACTACAGGAAAATAACAATACATTCTGAGAAAGTTTTTTTTCAGATGTAATTACCATGAAACGAAATAAACAACATGGATTGAAATCAACCTAAATTACATTACCTGCAGATGCCACCCACCTGAACCTGCTGAAGTAAGCCCATGTTTCCTGAGAGGACCATTAGAGTGAATGACAGAGATAACAACAGGAAAACATCAGTTACATTTTTGACTTGAGGTCATGATGTTATTGCAAAGCACAGCAGTGGTAGCAAAGAAATAGGCCATTTGCACAATTGCATCATTTTACTACTGCAACCAGAATCCTTTTCGTTTTTCCTTTCATATTTGAATTTTGTAATCACAGTGAGGTTTGAATAACAAAAGTCCTGATTAGCACAAGAAAGCAAAACCCTGAAGGATAACCTGTGATAATCATTATTTTAAGAAGAAATGAAAAAGATCAACATAAAGTCATATTTTACTCCATTATTAAGATCACTGTCCTGTACATGTATTTTTTAAAGTCTGCAGCAACAATCCTCTGCTGTATTTTTCTAAATGCAGTTATTTCTGTTTGATCCCTGCTGTAGAGATTTCATTTTCCCTTGAGTGTCACAGTGGTGCATTATGCTCTGGTCTTTATTATTGCTGCCTTATTGAGATTGTTATGGGAGGTAAAAACTGGGAAACAAAGAGTAGTTCTTCCCTGGTCTGTTTACATGAAAAGAGTTCTTCCCACAGGTGAGATACTTAAAATTATTAACCTTTAAGCCCCAATTTCTACATACATTTATTAAGTCTAAACTGATCTCCACACATTTCCCTAAAGAAATTAGTTGTGAGAATTAATTTGTTAATTGATCAAAGCATTTTTCTGGTGGTTGATCATTTATTCAATCTCATGACCTGTTTCTTGATTATGTATTGATATTGTTGGGAGTAATTGATGTTGATCATTCCTAGGACTTTATGGTTAAGTTTATTAAATTATTAAATGATTGTGAAAATTGAGGGGTGGTACTAGTGAAAGGCTCAACCAAGCCTGATGGGGCTGGGTACAGGAGATTATCTCAATCAAGTCTGATAGAGGTAACTAAAGCCAGGCTCGCAGTCAATTCTGATGGGGGTGGGAATAAAAGAACATCAACTTTTTCAAGTCTTATAGGGGTGACTGAAGCCAGGCTCACAAGCAATTCTGATGGGGGTGGGAACAGAAGAACATAAACGTAGTCAAGTTTTATAGCGATAACTGAAGCCAGGCTCAGAGTTAATTCTGATAGAGGTGACGCTTTCTGTGATTGTGAAATTTTACAGTGCTGATTAATGTAAATCGAATGTGACTTATCTTTCAGCAATGGCCTGTGCATTGGATATTGGTTGCTCAAACTGGAGTCTGATGTTTATAACAGTATCATTGTAAGTATCAGATTTGTACTATGGTCAACTCTTGCCTTGTAATTGTGGATGAATGTCAACCTTGACCCCTCCGTAGGTTTTTCTGTGTTAAAGTATATGTTTTCCAATTGATGGTGGGTCAAAAGTTGAATGTTGTACTAATTCTAATTGGCTTTTGAAGAACTTGGGCTTGGCATCCAGGGTTTACAAAAGAAGGCATTAATACTTTAAACTGCCAAGCTCCTCCTGGATGTATCAGGGCTCCAAAAAAATTCTGGTCCAGTAATCCAGGATGGGTAGATTTTCTTGCTGGGCTAGTACATTGCAACTTTTAAAGCAGTAGTTACTTGCCCAATGGGCAAGAGTCCATTCACAAACAAAATCATTGACTAAGGCAAGCAAGATTTGGCCCTGGGCAACAGAAAGTAAGAGTTGCTTGCCTAAAAGACAAGCTACATGTAGAATGCACTTATTTTTTTTTTAGCCATGTATGTGTTACAGGTCAAAATGAAATTCAGGTTAGAATCTTTTGATGTATACGTACGTGTAGGTTGATTCTCAATTGCTGTACAGTGTAAGAGAGAAAGGAAATAGAAAATCAACCTTGGTTAAAAATGTTACCTGAATTTAATTTTCACCTCTAACATAATTATGTTCACCTCCTGCTTGTATTGAAATTTATTGCATTTGTTATGACATTTTGAAGCTTTATTAACCCTTTTAAGTCCCAAAATCCACATACAAATTCTCCAAACTGATCTCCATACATTTCCTTCAATAAGTAGTTGAAAGAATTTTATAAAAGATCAATGCATTTTCTCTTTCAATTGGTGATCATTTTATTAATTCTCCTAACCTTTTTTCTTGACAGTGTATGGATATTGTTAGGAGAAAATTGATGTTGGTCACTCTTGGGACTTAAAGGGTTAACAACCATGAGTACAAGTAGAATGTATTTTTGATCAGCCCTGCAATAGGTTGTCTTGAAGCGCTTTATTCTATTCCTGTTATATATAACCCTCCTAGCCTGGGATATAAGCCACTTCATTTATAAGCTCTCCTAAAACCCCTTTCAAAACTGTATATGACCAGGGCTTAAAAGTGGCAGTTATAAAACATAATGATTTCTACTAATGTTTTGTACTCAATTATTTGTTTGAGTATTATTACACAAGGAATTATTTATTTTGTAGTAAATGATTATAAAATTTCACTGTAAAATTATTTTGCATCACTGTGCTCTTTAAGGAGTCACAGGGTTCTCAGAGTGACTCCATCAGTGCTAAACTCTGTTTAACTTGTAACATATTTTGATATGGTATTTTTTTTAATGAATAATTAAATGGATAATAAATTAACAATTCTATTGTATTTATAGAACATTCATACTGTAATTTTTTTACTTGATAATGATGTCTGAGATTTCATAATATTTTTTTAACTCTTTTAAAATTTCTTAAAATGTTTTTAAAAAGTTTTTATGTAATTCGTTAATATTGTTTTGATAATGAATACTGTAAGTCATTTTTTAATTTACTTGAAGGAACAGCCTGTATACAGTACACATTAGCACCTTCTGCACCTTATACAGTGTACTTTAGAGTCCTAGATACTGTAACTTCAATCTAGTTCGTAGCTTCTTTAAGTAATCATATTGTTGTTCACTTCCATATCAGTTTTTATAAAGGTTTTCAGATTTATAAGTGAACATTTTGCATGTTTACTTTTTGACTGCTTGCACTGTACTAGTTATCTGAATAATATTATCATTGTTCAGATGTACCCCTTCAAACAATATTATTATGCTTAGGCATTGTTGATTTTATGTTAATTTCATGTTGTTGTCAGTAACAGTATTATTATTACTACATGTATTACTATTATTATTATTATTATTATTGTTATTATTATTATTATTATTATTATTATTATTATTATTATAACCTGTAACTCATATTGTGTTGTAGGTATACAATGACAAAATCCACTAGTGTTATTTTCATTCTGATGTTTGCACTTTTGTTTGGTTTGGAGCAATGGGTAGGTTCAAATAGAAGTCACTGTATTATAATTGAGTAAAAAACTAACAGCACTGTTCAAAGTCAAGCTATGACAGGATCTTCATTAGACTGCAAAACAGTCCGTATTTTTGCGTATTCAAGTACGCGCGAGCAGTCAAACAAAAGGTCTGGAACGAGGCTGAAAACAGAGATGAGGCTCGCGTGCTTTGCGCGCATAAGACTCTTATGGCACGCTTTGCTGATTCCTGTACTGATTTTGAGAAAAAAACCGACTGTTTTGCAGTCTAGATCTTCATCAGTTCTTTCAGGAGAGGATTATATAATAACTAGCACCTAACATTATTATTTTTTCTCTAAGAATCCCACTTTTTACATGAAAAACAAACACCCACCATGCCCCCCCCCCCTGCAATAAAACAAATCAAACCATCCCTCAAATTAGATGAGTGTGGCACAGGACCTTATAGGAAGTCTTTTACAGTGTATATATTATGAGTTAAAGAAAGCACCATAAGTTGCTTCTAAGACTGTAATGACCTCAGAAACCATACTATGAATAAAAATTATTTTGGTCTCTGGGAAAAGTGGGCTAAGTACCAAAATAAAGCACAGAAAAGTTGATTCATGCTGTATTCAGTGGACCCCTGGAGAAGGCAAGAGAGCTGGCGTGGCTTTGTGCAACAATGGAACCTCAGTTAAGCAACGTCTTTGAAACAAAGTCCCCAGAATAAAAAAACAACTTAATTCATGTTATGTCACTAATAGAAAAAAAACAGAAAGGAACCTTGATAATTTTTGAAGCCTTGTTATTTTTGGTTTACAACCTTGTGACAAGCCAGCCATGTTGGTGGTCAATACAATATAACTTTTTCTCAAAGAATTTTTCTTCTTTCTGAAAAGTTAGATTCTTTGGGATAGTTTATTGTTTTGAGATGTTTCTGTGGCAGCAGGATGCATTACAATGCATTTGAGAGAAAACTAATCCAGTTTAATGAAGTTTGAATTTCACTGTAAATTCCTGTCAATTGTATCTAAAAGCTTTTGTTTCCTCAATGGTTTGAGTTACTGGGATTCAAATTATGTCAGTTTTTTATTAACATTATTATTATTATTATTATTGAATATTCACATTGTTTTATGTTGCCATCATACTTATCTTAGCAAGTCCACGAGTGAATAAACCATATTTTTTTTGTCTTGTTTCCTTTGACAGAACTTTTCTCTAGTGGCCATCATTCTGTTGATAGCAAGTGGCTTGTTCCTCTTTACTTTTGAGTCCACAGAGTTTAATGTAGAGGGATTCATTTTAGTAAGTTAACATTTTCCAGTCTATACATAGTTAGTAGAGGCGACTGGTTAGGAAAGCCAGCAAAAATCAAAGTTGAAAACAATAGTGATGTAGGTTATGTTGGAAGCTCTGTGACTGTGCACAATCCTTTGTTTTTTGTCAACAAATTGTGACTGAATAAATTAATGCAGTGTTTCTATTGGTCAGTGAGTTCAAAATGATACGAATGCTATTGAACATTGTCCATGGTCAGGTTCAAAAAAGCTAACAAAAACACATAACAAAGGGTTTCCCAACCATTTCACTTTAATTAACTATGGTCTATATTAGAGAAAGTTTCTCCACTTTTGTCATGAGTTATTTCTGAAATGTCTCACATAGACATGTAAAATGTGCTATGGAAACGAGGTACTTTACAGCTGAGGTTGTCAGTCCCTAGAGTGTCCAAAATAGTTTTTTTTATATATCATTGTCAACACAGTGCTTATCCAACTGAGCTAACCAGGGGGGGGGGGGGGGGGGGGTTGGTTAATTAATTAATCCTGCTCATAATACAGTTTCTTTTTTGGGCTAGTTAAGAGTATATCCTAGCTACATGTTGCCTAGATGGCAAGTTGTAAAGCTGACAACTTTCTTTGCAACTTTCCGTGCTTTCTTTGAAGTGGTCACCAAAGGGGAAATCTGTTGATCTTTGATCAAATTTTCTGATCTAATTGTTTAAGGAATGTGAGGAGATTAGTCTGTAGAATTTTTTATCTGGATACTGGGGCTTTAAGGGCGTAGTCTAATAAAGTTTAAATCAGTGTATTTTTTGTTTAATTTTAATTTTTCTCAAGGCTCTCACTGCATCAGGACTGAGTGGTCTGAGGTGGACATTAGCACAAATTTTGACTCAAAAACAAGAATTAGGTAGGAGTTAATTAAATGTCATGGCGAAAAAACATAATTTTTTTCTTACACTTTTTACTGTAGCTTATTTTGGCCTCCAATAATGTTTTTTAGGTCTCCATAATCCCCTTGACACACTGTACCATTTGCAACCATTCATGACATTAACATTGATCCCCTTGGCATTTTACATTGAAGGTAGGTTTTCTATTTTTTAACACAACTTACCTGCAGCCATTTTACTTTTAAAGTTTGCAGTCAATGGTACAGTAATTTAATTATGTTAATTTATGAGGTGTTAAGTATTTTTACTGTTGTAAATCAATTATTTAAACTATAAAAATATTAAAAGTTAAATCTGCATTTTGATTGTTCAGTATACATTATTTACTTACATTATTTACTTACAAGAGCTGCAATGTACATGTAGTCTGTGCTTAAAGCAGTATATGTCATTTTTTCACCACTTTAAATTTTCTCTGGCTAATAGTATTAAAAGACAAAAGCTTTTGACGCCTAAACTGCAGTTGTATATTATATTATTTAGTACAGTGTGGTAAAGTGATGGTGGTAGACACCAGTGTAAAATATATTTGCTTGTTGAATTGAATGCTCAATCACATCAGAACTGCTACTCAAAGTGACTACCTTGTTGTTTTAGGACAACATTTAGCTGTATCACCAAAGCTCTTCAATGCTCCTGATGGCCACACCCTTTGGATGACTATCTCAATGGTGATGTTTGGCTGTTTTCTGGCCTTCATGATCAGTGTCTCCGAATTTCTGCTGCTTTCTCATACATCAAGCTTAACACTCTCCATATCAGGGATATTTAAGGTAAGCTCCAATAGCCATGACTATAATTCTTACAAGACAGTGTTTAAGTATGTTTTATGCCCCTTCTCTAGAAAGGCTAATCCCCTCACTAGGAGCTGTTTGGACCCCTATATGTCACACCTCTTTTATTTTTCATTCTGAACTTTGTTTGATTTTTATTGTTTTCCCAACTGGTCCCCTGTGGGCCCAGGGGGGGGGGGGTACTCCCTGTAATGGCCTATATGGGGAGGAGTCAGGGAACGTTCTATTTTTGTGTCTCTGCACGCAGTTTTTTGGCCCCTCTATTTTCTTCTTTTTTTTTTTTTTTTTCTGTACTTTTTTTGATTTTTTTTGTTTTCCCCCGTGTGCCCCGTGGGGGGCGGGGGGGGGGGGGGGTACTCCCTGTAATGGCCTATATGGGGAGGAGTCAGGGAACGTTCTATTTTTGTGATTGATCGATGATTTACAGCAGTTGAAAGGGATGCAAAGTTCTAAACAAGATTTGTGAAGGAGGTACCATTTGTCAATAGAAGGTATGCAAAAGAGGCACCTTTTTTGTGAAAAATGATATATAAAAGGGTAAGGGGTTGGACCTCTGGTTGGAGACTCCCCGTATAAACATTTGTTGCATACCCCCCACCTCCCCAGGCAGCTGGGTGTTGCCTCACTTTTAGAGTATGTTTTATAGTAAGTAAATGAAAGTTTTTCTCTACTAATGAAACCCAGTCTTTATTGAGTAGGATACCCTTAAGGTCAAAACACATTAGGCAACATGTGGCTACCACACATTGGGCTGACACGCCACAGCAACACATCAGTAGTAGTAAATCGCTTTGTGTTTACTGGAGAAGGTTGGGGAAATCTTTGTCGCCTTGACCCAGTTTTGACTCTGCAACAAGTGGCACAAAATCAAATTAGTCTAAATTTGTGCAGTTTGCCACGGTGGGTAAATTCTGTCACGGAGACAAATATTTTCACAGAAATTCTACAGTACACATGACACGATTTGTCGCTGCGACCTGTCACTGTACACAAGGATGGGTTTATTGCCAGGGTAACCTGTTGCCAACTGTGTTCCGACTTTTCTATGAGAGGGAGAGTGGTATTGAAACAGAACTTGTTATTCGGGGTAGGCACTTGCTCCATCCTTAGAGACAGAGAGTGATGAGAGGCACCTGTGAGACACATGTATTCCCAGGCCACTCGCTAAAGGCTCTCCTGCTAGGGCTTACGTATTTTCTACCTCTTACCTGGATTACTTTATTCTTCAGGAAGTGTGCACATTATCTCTTGCCACTGAATTTGCTGGAGATAAGATGACAACTGTCAATTTTTTTGGTCTCGTGCTTTGCCTGATGGGAATAAGTGTGCATGTAGTTACAAAGGCAACAAGAGGTGGGTGGCGAAATTATAGCGTTACTAATCTCATGTCAGGAAATCTATCTTCTTCGCGCTACAAATGTCAATTTCTAATTAATATTTAATCACAAAATAATTAATTTAAGCAGCACATAATTCTTTCCCAACAACTTGGTAACACTGAGTGATCTGCCAAAACTTTTTGTTGGCGTCCTGGGCTGCTGGTGGACTCTCTTCCCTCGCATGTCTCCCTCGTGCACCCCTTCTTTTTTTTTTGGCCATACTACAATACTTTCAAGCCGTGCTACGCAGGCTATCCCCCTATGGAATTGAAATTGCGCCCTCAACAGTGATTTTTCTCGTCTCAGACTCAGATAGTTCAAAATTGAATGGACAGCAGATGGTAGAGCTGAAACATGGTAGCACTGAATTAAAGGAGCTGTTGTCAGGAAATGATGCTGCAGAAAATGACGATGTGGATGAAGAATTTGAAATTAATGTTTATGGACAAAGATAACACTATAGTAGCCAGCCCGTTTTGTGGGCTGACAGTGAATTTGAAGTATGTATCTGTGCTCTTCTTAAAACCCTTTTATTTTCATTGAATATGGGAGAAAATAATCGTGTTCACGATAATACTGCTTTTGCAGTTGTTATGATGTTGCTGCCATGCAGGATACCCAGGTTGTTAAACCTTAGACACAGGCAACCCACCTCAGGTTGCTCGATTTTGTGTCTTTTCAGTTCCAACTCAAACGCCGATTTTTGCCTCAATAACAGCAAACAAACAGTTTTAATTCTTACAGACTTTGACTACAGGGATTATTTACAAAAGCACATGGTCTTCACATACTCCAAGAGAACATAGCCCGTATTGTTTTATATTTGAGGACAATTGCAAAGTAATAGACTTTTTTAACTTGTAAGTTTTGTTTTCTTAATCCAGGCCATGTGGTATTCAACAGGGATCTTGCCTTTTGTCCTTTCATAAATTATGCGCACATATGCACGTGGATGAAGTTTGAAAGAAACAATCCTCTGTGGTCTGAAATTGGAAAAAACGCACAAACTAAAAAAGTCTATTGATATTAACTAGGAATATTTGGAATATTGGTTTATGTATTGGGTGTTTATGGGAAATGAAATATATTTTATGCGAGTATTTATTTACTACTTCACACTTTTGAAACTTATTTTGAAATTTTAATGAGAGAAAGCGATATAAATCAATATGTTTTATTATAAAATAACTAAGATAGTATGCGCGCTCTGATAGGCCGAGAGGCGTGTTTGGATGAGAGTATGTAAACATAGTTGTGACGTCAAGATGTTTTGCTTTTCGCGCGCTAATCACGTAAGCACGACTTTGAAAAAGGTTTTGAGTTGAAACTTGAGAAATCTTTGGAAACATGCTGTGTCAATTTTTTGTCGCTTGAGCTGACTTTTTGAACGAGAAAAACCTGTATTTCGGAAAGCATCTTTTTTGCAAAACAAATACTGATTACGCGTTCAACCTTCGTGTACAAGACTTCGCGAATGGTAAGAATTTCTCTTTTAATCAATGCCCTAAACAAAAGAGTTTTGCTTTTTTTCTCGGGAAAGTTATTTTATAAAATCGATAGAAACCTCTTTTTCTGTGTTTGCATATCCTGATATAAACACTCGAGGGGTTGGGAGAATTCTCCACAGTTATAAAATTACTCGACTTCGTCTCGGGTTTGCGTAACAGTCTCGAATTCTCCTAACCCCTCTCGTGTTTATATCAGGCTATGCAAACACGGAAAACGTTTTCTATAGCTTAGTTCGTCGACACCATTGAAAAGAGAGCCCTAACGTTATTAAACCTGCCAAGTTGGACGGTGATGTGTTCGTCCTTTTTCAACAAATAACTCTCAAACGTCGCAATTGTTTGGCCTCTTTTTTAGCGGTGTCAATGGATTTTTCTCTAACTGGTCGATGTCAAAGGTTAAAAAAATCTTGTTGTCAATGTTAAAGTGGCTCAGAACCTGTGTGGGGCTTCCCCTAAGATTTCGAGCTGCCAAGTAAATGTAGTTAGTAGGTGGAAAATGAAGAGCTAAAAAGTCGTTTATAATGTATTTGGGGAGCAAGGGATGGCCCAGTGGTGAGAGCACTCGCCTCCCACCAGTGTGGTCCGGGTTCAAATCCCGGCGTCGACGCCATATGTGGGTTAAGTTTGTTATTGGTTCTCTTCCTTGCTCCGAGAGGTTTTTCTTCGGGTACTCCGGTTTTCCCCTCTCCCCCAAAACCAAATTCCTTGCTGGCCGCTAGCATTTCTCATTTTATCACCGCTGCTATGACATTTTCATGTTTTTCTTGCAACGAAATTCGTCTCCTTTGTTTGCAATCACTCGCTCTAACTCTTTCTCTGTTATCCACGTGAGTGTAGACATCAAAGATAACGTGGAAAAAGAAGGGACTTTGTTGTTGTTTTTTCTTTCCAAAAGTCCGGGCGGCCATGCGAATTCCTGCCAAATAAAACCTTGAGCTTGCATTTGGGTAGCCATACCTGTTGATTGAGTTATTTTACATTGGTGTGTCTGTGGTGCAGACGGTCGGGTGGCGTACGGTCACGTGACTACCAAAATTTCTCGGATGCATAGGTAACCAAATTTTCTTACCCATAGTGCTCCACTGCGTGCGCTTCGCGCGCGCGACAGCTCCTCTATAATGTTCCCATAAAACAGAGTGGAGAATTTTCTCTGATTTCCGTGCTTTCAGATTCCTGTTTGCTTTCTGGCTCTCTTATAGTTGGCTTCTTTAACTCTACACCCTGCAGCCTCCTCTGGTTACAGAGTGGTATGTCGGGTGCGCTTTTCTAGATTGCTCATAGAAATAACAATGAATTTTTTTGAGGAAAATAGAAAATAACTTCACCTCGAAGATCAGTGTAAGGCAGGTTGGACATTCAGTACGTCATTGAACTGTCTAAAAAATCAACAACAACAAAACCTTTAGTATAGTGTCTTGAGTATCTAGCGTAAATAGCTAATTGGGGACACCGTAATAAAAATACTTAAAAGAATGAAGAAGGAAAATATATTCATATGTAAAATACTTAAAAAGCTAATAAATATATACATATTAAAAATTACCTTTAGTTAATTGTCTATGAATACTTATTAAAACCTATTTCCTATGTAATTAAAAATCCATTCAAATTTGTATTGCTTAGTGTCTTTAATCTCATAGAAGCGATTTGCCTGAAAATTTTGGCAAAATCCAGGGACACCCAACGGCGGTTTCCTCCTAAATACATCGAAAAACACTTTTAAGACTATCCAGAGTACTTTTAGATCTCTAGAAATGAAATCTGAGGGGCGCTATAAAATTTGTATCTATTCTGTCATCCTAGGGGAACTTGAGTCTTTTCGAAATTACAAGGGCTTGAGTATTATTTTACCGAAAATTTTTGATACAACTTAACGTTTTATTTTCTCATAGAATTTCTTCAAACTTTGCCATAATGGAGGCAATTATGGCAGGTACATACTCCCTTAAGCGATTTCTTCAAAAAACTCCTGGTACAGAGAAACACAAAGATAAATGAAAAACGTAATGGCGTCATTACTCATGCCGACGTAGTTAATGCTCAAACTTGGGAGGTATCCCCCTAAAAAAATCCAGTCGAGCCACCTTAATCTCAGGATCTGGGGATTACTAGTTTCGATTTCAGTTTCACTTATCGTAAATGAGACCACAGAGACAATAGATAAAGGAGTGCTTATTTCATAGGAAGGCTAATTTCGTTCTAGCAAATTTCGGCCCCAAAATAACATATAAATTGTAAAAGTTGTAAATGAACGAAAACTTGGTCATTGAACAGGAAAACTGAAGCGGGACCTTCACTTTCCGTGTGGTTTTTGTCTATTTGAATTTCAATCAATATGATACAAATTGAAAATGAAAAATTTACAAGTGATTTTCAATTTTAGATTCATTTGATCATTCGCCGCCATTGGCTTCGGTTTTTGGCCGAAGATCTGCCACCCTGCGGCCGACACCGAAAAATCAGCACGCAAAAGAACTACTTCTGACACTCTGGGTATTCAATCAGGACTACACCAAATATGGACAAGGTTATAGGCTCCTGATTGGGATTATTAAATATTAACCGCCACATGATCAAAAATACGGAACTAGAGTTTGAACACCGAACTGATATAGCCTGCGACAAACTGGAGAGGATACTCTTGCCTCCCTAGATCTTTATCGAAAGTCGACGAGGAAAGTAATGGACTTTTTGCAATCTTGGGGCGTGATTCTGGCCTAATTTTAGGGCAAATCGTCTCTATGAGAGAAAAGACACTTGGAAATACAAATTTGATGGCGTCATGTCATACTGAAGGGAAAATTTTGACCCCCACTCAAATTTTGCATGCAGTTAGTTATTGTGCCGGGAGATGTCCAAAAACTGATGCACTTTGTTAAGGTGGCACCAAACCTAAACTTTCATCCTGAAACTGTTGTAAAAAGTGCAAAATGTATAGTTCTGTTTCTCCAGCCCATAGAAACGTTACAACCAAAGACATGGAGTATACATAATACCATCTTTATAGTCCACATTCATCATGTTCATGTATCTTGCTTTTAACAAGTTTAATTATCTCAAATTTGAAAGGCATAAACGGTCAATCAGCTACCTCGAGTTTTGGCCATTTGAGTTGAGTCAAAAGTACATCGGTTCCAGAGGTAAGACTAAGCAGGCAGTTTACACAGATGTTCTAGTTAATAAGTCTGTTAAAATCTCTGCGGGGAGGGCAATTTTGTTTCTATGGACAGTAAAAGAACAAACCTCAAATATCAATATTGGCATATTTCGGAGAGATTAAATGTCCATTCACTTGCCAAAAAAATTCCGAAAAAATCACAGCTTATTTCTTCTTCAGTGATTATTATTTGGCGAGACATTTTCTTATTAAAAGAATCGCTTATTGCTGTTATTTTTTTTGGAAAAAATCGATCCAAATAAAGCTTACTTTGCGACTTTCTTCAATTCGGTTCGCCACTTGACATGATTGAGTCCGTTCGTTCTGCTAGCATTTACATTCAACACAAATCCAGATGCCCACACTTTTTCTTTTTTTTCTTTACCCCAGTAATAGTAAAACTGTATGAAAAAAGAACGTGGCCATAACGAAACCTCGTTATAGCGAACAGGTTTTGCCAGTCCCTTGACCCTTCGTTATATCGAGGTTCCACTGTATTACAGAAAAGCAAAAAATAACTAGCTTTCAAAAATTCCAATGAATCAGTAGCTGATGTCTTAAATATCACAACAAACGCAATAGATCTGTACATGTACATAAACTTTGAAATCCAAGTAGCGGTAAACATTCGCGCGCGTAGCAATAACACAAAATGTTAGATCAAAACATCGTATAAAATTAAAAAAATCTGAACATTTAAAGTGTTCGAGATTATAGGGAGACATAAGTGTAAGACCGACCGAAAGCGATGGCCTCTTGATCAAACCAATTGATGATGAAAAGAAATTTAAAAAATACGAACCTACCTATCAACCACCAAAGCCCTTCCGACAGCCAGGCCATACTTCTGAATGAGCACATAACTATTTAAGCTTAACCTGCATAGCAGGCGCCGCTTTTGTAAAGGTGGAATAAATTTCTTGGACGTGCGCGCGAACCAGGAAGAACATAACACCTAACCAAAAAAATTAACCAGCGCCTTCCACGTAAGCTAATTCAAGGCCGTCGAACGTGTCTTTCTTTCGGGATGTTGCAATAGTAAAAAAAAATCGGTTTTTTGTCATTGATCCTAAGGTAGAGCAATATTTTTCGAATTCAAGCACTATAAACTCAAAATGGACATCTTCATTACCAGATGTTCCGCATTCATGGAACAAGATGAGTTCAAGCCGGGTCCCACCTGCATAGAACTGTAATTAGGCAGGTTTGTTTTTGTAAACAGAGACGTTCTAGATTAGGATTCCGGAATCCGGGAAATTTTTGATTGCGGAATCCG